AGCCAATTTTCACAGGCCTCTCTTGAGGCCAACTTCTTACCATTAAGCGCGTTCGCCATGGACAGGAAAATATGGTAACCACTTGGTGCCAGGTTCGACTATAAGGTGGGTGCATTGACCTCGCATCCGAGCTTCTGGCGCGTCACCAGAGGACGTGCTGGCCTGGCGTTGTCCTGATGAACACAATTCGCCTCTGTGACTAAAGATGGCCTCTTCTGGATGACTGCTGCCTTCAAAGCGGTGCAGTAGTTGAATTAGAGGACCGAAAGGGAGCGTTGCCATAAGGGAGCAGCTATAGTAGATAACACACATAACACACAGCAAAACCATTCGTTAGTTCGTGTGGCACCCAAACATCGACTTTCTTGAATCCAAGTTATGCAAATGGTTCCAAACGGTTTTCTGGCTTATCTGAGTTCCTCCAGCAATTAAATAAGTGCTCACATGACGGTCTTCCACTATTTCCATGATTTTATCGCAATTACGACGACAGGCCTCCCGACGCGGTGCATCTTTGACATCGAAATTATCGGAACGGAACCCAGCAAACCATTTTTGCGCTACACGTGCGTTTACAGTATCAAGCCCATAAACTAAATTAATTATATTTCAGCCGCTTTGGCTGCTTTTCGCCTGATCGAAAAAATTGTAAAATGTAGCGAATTTTCTCTTTGCTGGTGTCTATCTTTGACGAGCGCTCACAACGTACTGAGTCAATCAATTAAAAAAACTGTCAAAGACAAAACTTTTAGCGCGAATAAACACGGTTCAGCGCCCGTATAGACCGTATGACATGATGCGACACGTAACACTATACTATGGACAATACGCCATCTCTTACATAAAAACCAACTAATATTTAAGAATACACACAAAATTCATATCGTTCCGGTGAATATTTTCGAAGTAACACGCAATTTGAAACGGTGTTCAGAGTGCTTGAAAGTACAAGCCAGAGTGGCAGCGACTACCTGACGCGTGCCCTTTTATGCACCAGCTTATTGCAAATGCTCCCTTCTAATGATTATAATGTGTAAATCAACGGTTGATGGTTTTTTTTATACCTGAAAAATTTTTATTTTAGACCCCTAAACTGCGAAAATAGTTTAAGAGTGTTGTCAGTATATGCAACTAAGCCTAGCAGTAAACTTTGTGAGTTGTTTATATATTTGTGGGTAATTTTCGTGAAATAAAGTCTTCCAGAAATTAGAAAATCTTTTAGCATTCGTAAGTCGAGAACAAAAAGCGCGAAAATGTATCTAATCCAAAAACAGTTGAAGGATGAAAGTAGCTTCAGTGCCTCGCGCGAAAATGTAATAACAGGAAATCTCAGTTATACGTTGATTCGCCGATATCCTCTCCGGGTATCTTATTGCGGAGCTTAGTTATGGCAAGTTATTTGTTTTTGATTAATGGCGTTTTGTGGGCGTGGCAGTGGTCCGATTACGCCCATCTGCAATACCAACCGTCTCACGGTACCATGAAACATGTCTACCAAGTTTCATAAAGATATCTCAATTTTTACTCAAGTTAGAGCTTGCACGGACGGACGGACAGACGGACAGACGGACGGACAGACGGACAGACAGTCACCCGGATTTTAACTCGTCTCTTCATCCTGATCATTTATATATATATAACCCTATATCTAACTCGATTAGTTTTAGGTGATACAAACAACCGTTAGGTGAACAAAACTATTATACTCTGTAGCAACAGGTTGCGAGAGTATAAAAACGATTATAGGTATGAATTTATTTGTATTTATATTTTTACGTATCTATTAATTATATTACGTCAATAAGTCATTAATGCATTAGTATTTTTCAATACAAATTAAGCAACATATTAATATATATTATGAGCCCTCACTTGACACGCCTCTGTGCATTGTGGTAACCAACGAAATAACGGCGAGTTCGCGCGGACATTGTGTTGTTTAAAAAACCCAAATGACGACTTTGTCGACAAACATACATATAATATATAGGTACATATGAGCTCGCATACACATTGACGACGAATTTTGCTCATCTGGCGGAGTTGACAAAATTTGTTTGAATCGACAACTTTACGACAATGTCGGTCGGCTATGTTGTCTCGTTTGTCCTTTTTGCACTGGTTTGCTATTGAAAGTTGACTTATGCTCTTTAGAATTATTGCGATTATCGAATGGGCTGCACTTTCATAGCGTCGTTTTTAGATAAAATGGGCTAAATTGAGAAACTATGAAACAATGATGATAAGTAATCAAGGCCCTGGGATCCATGTTTCCACACAGGGATTGTATCGCCTCACTAGCACCCAGCAGAATTTTGAAATTTATCAACATGCTGGGCCTAGATGATACGATATGACTTAGGTGAGGGCACAATAGACCATAGGTCGCGGTGCATACCTCAAAATTAATCTAATCGAATCTAATCTAATGATAATAAGTAAACATATAAACGTACTATATGCAGTGTGCTTGGAATATATAGAAGTAGTTAAAGATTTCTTATGAATGGCAATTTTATATAAATTTTATAATTTAATGCCATAAATAGTCCATAATATGAATAAAATATAAATATTAATTTAACTCCCTAATAGATCATGTTGCCAATTCTCCTTTCTGAATGGAACATCAGACAAATTCTTCAATTTCTGATTTTTAGCATCGTCGTGAGGAGGTAGCTTTTGGGCAAAATACAAATGCGAGGGGAATAGTAGGATCAATTGTAAAATTGAAACTTCTTCAAATTCAAATTCAATTTCATTCATTTTTATTTTCGCGCATTTGCGGTAGGAATTCTATATGAAAACCAAATGTGGTTTACCAGGCGCACAGAAAAAATAGCGTGGCGCAGAGTTATGAACGAACTCACTTTGTTTGAAGCAGACACATGTTCCTTATGAATGAATTTGTTGTCGTTGTAATATGTAATACTTAGAAAATAAGCCGCGAGTTCGCTTGAATATTATTGGCCGTGATGGTGCGTCTACGTTATTTTGTCACTTGCGCGAATGTTGGATTTTTTGGGAAAGACATATTGAGGGACACACATATGTACATATGTATACATATATGCAAATATATTTGGACATGCGAATAAAGAAAGGCAGTTTCAAGAATATTCACATATAGATATTATATATGAACATTTGAAAGGAAGTAAACAACAGTAGCTGTTTGAGTTCACAGATTAGACAAATTGGCTTGAATATCTTCTGTGGTGCTGTTTGTATAGCACATTTCCCTTTTGCAACGTGAAATATTTTGCCTAAGTTCAAATCCTATCAGATATTTTTATATACTATTTTTTATTTTTATAACCCTTTTTTATTGAATGATATTTTAATTCTATTTTCATATTATTTCCCTCATTATTAATATTTTCTTGTCAGAAGTCAATTTCTTTCGTTTTTATTATTTCAATTTTTGTTTATGAGCATACCAAAGAACATCTGTGCATATGTATGTATATACGTTTTGCTTATAAAGTGGTGTAATTCGTTGCGTCGCCTGATAGGATGGCGAAATTTTATTTTCGAACTTGCGCGTTTTCGATGTTCATCATCGTAATTAACATTTTAGCATAGCTAACGTTTGCGCATTCTCTATTCATTAACATTCTCTGCCAGTACCAAACAGATTCAGTGCCGCTGAAAAAAGTTACAAGCATGCAAGCATACATACATGCAAACATACAGGTGAAGCTAAAAAATCTTTATAAATGGATTGAAGCGGGTCAATATTTCCCTTAGCCCCCACATACTTAATAGAAAGATTTTCGAACTTCCAGCTGACTTGATGCCGCATATATCGCAAATATTTGAGTAATCTTAATAAAATTAAGTCAGCGTGTTTTTCTATTTAATAACGGTGCATTTTTGTGCCTTGAATGTACAAAATCGGGTGAAGACTTGCCCTAGCCCCCAGATAACTAATATCATATATTGGTGCTGGTATCTGATGTACTTTAGTGAAACTCAGAGAGCATCTGTTAATAACATGTATCAATGCCAAAAATAGATAAAAATCGATTCAACACTACACCTATTTCCCATACACCTAATAAAAGATTTTCAAACTTTTGGTTGGTTTTATAGCGTATATGTATATCAGTCAATATGTAAGATATCTTAGCAAAATTAACTGAACGTATAATATTAAATATACTTTAGCATATTACCGACAATACTATGAGAAATTATTTGGTATTACATATAATAATTTGAGTTATTTTAACATAGTTATTATTCTAATAGTTTAATGCTGAACATGAATGGATTTGTTCTTGACCTTGGTCTTTATCTCATATCCCTAATATCATTAATTCCGATCTGCTTCTGGTTAACGTTTTGCAAAGCAACTCATTATATATATTATATATCATCGAATAATAAATGTTGAATTCTTTCCCAACATTTTTATGCACTTGTAACATGTTGCTACAGAGTGTAACAGTTTTGTTCACCTAACGGTTGTTTGTATACCCCAAAACTTATCGAGATAGATATGGAGTTATACCTAAGTATATATATAAATTATTAGGATGATGAGACGAGTTGAAATCCGAGTAACTGCCTGTCCATAATTAAGATATCTTCCGTGTACCAAGAAAGTGATGACGAGTTAGTAGACGGGCGTAATCGGACCTCCGCCACGCCTACAAAACGCCATTAATCGGAAACTTATAAAATGCTATAACTACGCACTAAATTAAGATATAAACCTGGAATTTGGTACAGGGAATTGCTGTAGCACGGGACATTTGTGATTTAAGGATAAAAAAAATGAATGGGCGTGGCACCGCTTACATTTTGGTCAAATAACATATCTCCGGACGTAATATTATATAACAACATCCCGTTTATTAATTTTTGCTGTAAACCAGCTCTCGGGTCCTTGCTTACATTGTTTGAACTACATATATAATGAAACATATGTATATTACATAAAATATATATATATGTGTATATATAATATGTAATTTATAGTTATAGTTATATACCGAGGCTTCCATGAGTCATTATTTCGTCCTTTCCGTAATCGTTCCGCATCACGTTGTTTTTCTTCCAATCTGTTTTTTTGAGCAGATGCGGCTGTTACATCACCTTCTTCGAGATATCGTATATCTGGGCGAAGTCGTGAATCGGTGTTACACAAAGGTTGCGTTGTATTTGGGTTGATAGCATTAAGCTGCATAGCGAAATCTGTGAAATGATAATACTAAAAAATGCATATAGTTAAACGTTAATTTAAGTCGTAGAATGTAAAATTATGCAAAATAATTTACATGTCTTTCAAAATAAATAAAATAATTAATATCAGGCTTACATACATAAGAGCAAGGAACTAAAAATTATAAATATATTTGTATGTAAACAGTAATGGTGGTGACAGCGTGATGGTACAGGTGGCAACGCTGCAGGCAACTATTGATAGAACTAGGAGCGCAGTTGGCAAGAGTGATCGAGCAGTGAAGTTAGTCGAAGTTAACCATTGTTGAGAAAGCGGATAAGTCGGATAGCCTTTTGAAAATCGTCGATCGGTCAAGTCAGATAGTCGTCGGAAGTATGAGTTGCGTTGCGTAAATCAATGGAAGTTTATTAAAAGAAACCCGAACGTTGTCAATTTGACTTATTTGTATCATTTTAAATAACCACCAACTATGTTCATTAAACAAATATCAATAAACAATTACTAAACATTTCAATAAATATTACATTTGTTGACTCAACCGCCGAACGAAAGTGAAACTGTTCAAAGAATTTACCTAATTGTGAAATTGCGTAAGAAAATTGAACTGAACTGTTGTGTATGTGTCGGTTCGAAGAAAATTAACGGCAAAAGACGGACAGACAAATGCCAAGTGTGTTGCGTTCGAAAGCGACTGCAATAAAGAGAAATGTAAACGAAACAAAAGCAGATGACAGTGAAACACCAAAAACGTCACGACAAATAAATACACAAAGAAAAGCACAAGTGGAAAAAGGAGAAGAAGTGATGAAAAACCAAGTAAATTACAACAAATTATTCAACTGCTGAGTTTGAAAATTTAAGGTTGTTGCAGATTTTGACGGTGAGACGGTGCCGGTCGAAAATTGGCTTGAAAATTTTGAGTTAAATGCTGATGCACATGGGCTAAACGAGAGGCAAAAATATGCTTAAGTGTGGTCAAAGATGACAAAAACAGCGGATTTGCTCTTGGAATCGGAGCTGGTATGTTCGTACGAAGAATTGAAACCCGTGATGTTGACAGAGTTTCATCGAGAATTGGGAAGTGCGGGGGGACATGAGAAACTGGCAAATAGGAAAAAACTGCAAACAGAGAGTTTCCATGAATATATTTTACAAATGAACAAAATAGCCGCACTGGGCAATGCTGAAATCAAGTTTGTAATACGTTATGTAGTTAACGGATTGAGCATCAAAGCCGAATATAATTTCATAATGCATGCTTGTAAAACTTACGATGAACTCAAAGAGCGGTATGAAAATTTTGATGAATAAGAGCAAGAGAAAAAAGCAGTACTACAGTGGCGTCCAGCAAAATCATAACAACAATAAAAGGATGGCTCGTTGCTTCAATTGTGGATCGCCTGAACATATGAAGGAAGATTGTAAGGTTGAAACGAAGTGCTTCAAGTGTGATGCTGCAAGCCATATATCAACAAGTTGCCCGCAGTCAGTAAAATTGGTGCGAGTGGTTCAAGATTGCAAACGGCTCAAGAACATTATATTAAATGGTGTTGAAGTTGCGTGCCTGGTTGACACGGGTGCTGATGTTACGATTGTGAAGCATTCTGTGTACATGAAGCTAGTTGATGTTGTGTTAAGTCCATGTCGTTCTTTGTTGGGACTGGGCAAAACGGGCACTGTGCCGCTGGGAATATTTACGGGAGCTGTTCAAATAGACGATATGGAGACTGTGCAAAATTTCATCGTGGTGGCAGATGAAAAAATAGAAGATGATGCTCTACTGGGATATGACTTTCTCGCAAAGTTTCAATTTACACTGGATGCAAATGGGTTTAAGTTTTCGTCGTTGTCAGCTTGCCCGGAAATAGCTGACGTTAATCAGATAAGTATTCATGATTATGATTGTACTGTAAGTAATGTGAATGCTCCTCTCCAGGTTGCTCCCATGATACGGAATCTGATAGAGGAATATCGGCCAACCTCGCTACTTGTTGAGTCACCTGTGCAGCTAAGAGTTGTCCCGGATGACAAAATTAAACCATTTCGCCATCAACCAAGTCGACATCCTCCAGTTGAAGCTGAAGCCGTTAAAAAACAAGTTGATGATTGGTTGAAAGAAGGAATCGTTCGACCATCTACCTCCAGCTTCGCCAGCAGAACCGTCGTAGTGAAGAAAAAAGACGCCACTTACAGAATTTGTATTGACTATCGCCAATTAAACAGCATGGTGCTGAAGGATTGCTTTCCTGTGCCGATAATAGAAGATGTACTCGAGAAGCTGCAATCCGCCAAGGTGTTTGTGTTATTGGACTTAGAGAACAGTTATTTTCACGTCCCAGTCCCAGAAGAATCAAGTCGAAAATATACTGCGTTCATCACCAAAGAAGGCTTATATGAGTTCAATAGAACGCTATTCGGATTCTGCAATTCTTCTGCGGCGTTTATAAGATTCATAAACCACATATTTCAGGAGTTTGTATCACGGAACATTCTACAGCTTTACATGGATGATATTATAATATATGGCCAGACTAACAACGAATGTATTGAGAAACTCAAGTTGGTGTTATCTGAATCAGCTAAGTTCTGTTTACGTATAAAGTGGAAGAAATGTCATTTCCTTGTTAACAAAATCCACTTCCTAGGACATACAGTACAAGATGGAAAGATTTGGCCTGGCAAAGAAAAAACAATTGCCGTGAAACAGTTTGCTGTACCCAAGAAGTTCAATCTTTTTTGGGTCTAACGGGATTCTTCAGGAAGTTTGTGAAAAACTATGCCATTATTGCGCGACCTTTGACCGATCTGTTAAAAAGGATGCCATTTTCAAATTGGAGTCTAAAGAGTATGCAGCTATTGAGAATCTGAAGATTGCATTGTGTGAAGACCCCGTTTTAAGGATTTATTGTAGAGGTGCATCGACGGAGTTGCACACAGATACGTCGAAGGACGGGTTTGGTGCCACATTGTTACAAAATTTTGATGATTAAATGCACCCAATAATTTATTGGAGCAAAAAGACGAGCCCAAGTGAATCAGGACGAAACAGTTACATTTTGGAAGTAAAGGCTGCTTATCTAGCTATGCAGAAACTTCGCCATTATTTGCTTCGTGTACTGTTTAAGTTGGTTACTTTGGTATTTTTGGTCACAAGGTGGCATACTTTAAACGCATTATTCACGCAACGTTTTACCCCGATATAATCATTGTTGCTTGAATGCATAGTGGAAAGTGAAAGAATCAGATGGAATTGAAAATGGTGTTATATGGGTCGTTGTAGTCCGATTTCGCCCATTTTCGCACTATAATATATAAATATGAAAAGAACGTTATGCACCGAATTTAGTTAAAATCGGTTAAGCAGATCCCAAGATATGGGGCTTCACCTAAAAGAGGGTGGTGCCACGCCCACTTACTAATTTTGAACGCGGTTCCAATAAAGCCATCTCATACCATCCCAGAGATAAAATTTAAGGTCTCTGGCGTGTTTAGTGCTTGGTTTATCGTGCTTGTAGTATTTGTTAACAATACCGTTATAGGAGGAGTGGGGGTATTTTCACACCGTCAATAGAGGTGCTAAAAATATTTGCCCCCACTGATTTTCGTTATTATAGCTATAGCGGTTTAGGAGATATGCATATTAAACTTATTAGGGGCGGGACCACGCCCACTTTAAAAAAATTTTTAACTGCAGAGCTTAGTTATGGCTATTTATTTGTTTTTGATTAATGGCGTTTTGTGGGCGTGGCAGTCATCCGATTACGCCCATATGCAATACCAACCGTCTTACCGTACCAGGAAACATTTGTACCAAGTTTCATGAAGATATCTCAATTTTTACTCAAATTACAGCTTGCACGGACGGACGGACAGACGGACGGACGGACCGACAGTCACCCGGATTTCATCTCGTCTCTTCATCCTGATCATTTATATATCTATAACCCTATATCTTACTCGATTAGTTTTAGGTGATACAAACAACCGTTAGGTGAACAAAACTATTATACTCTGTAGCAACAAGTTGCGAGAGTATATTAAAAAGGGAAATAATTGACTTATGAAAAGAAAATGTAAATAATGAGGGAAATAATATAAAAATATAATTAAAGTATCATTTAATAAAAAAGGGTTATAAAAATAAAAAAATGGTATATAAAAATATCTGATAAGATTTGAACTTAGGCAAAATATTTCACGTTGCAATAAGGAAGCGTGCTATACAAGCAGCACCACAGACTATATTTGAGCAATTTCGTATAATCTTCATTCGCATGTCCAAAAACTCAAACATTCGCGAGTTAATATCGTTTACACGATATGAGTAGAAAGAAATAAGCTGCACCGAAATTCGTGCTTTTTATTGATATTCTTAAGAATAACTAGTTTACATAAAACTTAGTGCTATTTATGCTATTGAGCTGTTTACTAACAGATAAAACTATTAGTTTCTATTGTTATATTTGGGTATGTTTATGTTATTGATAATGCATTTCTATTGTTATGTGTTCTTATCTCTAGTATTTATATTTTACAATGTGTGTTAGCTGACAGATATGTTAACATATGCTTATTTTGATTTTGTGTATTTATATCTAATAAGTGATATGCTATGTCACTTATATATAAGTATCTATGATATGTATGTATGTACATATGTATATGTGCGATATGTATGTGAAGTGTAGAGATCACATATTGTATGCAGATATGTATGCGGTGTGCGGCAATGTCGTTAACTTTCCTCCCTCTTAAAACGGAGCGTCCTCGCTACGCTGCTGCTACGAGTTGCTGTTGAAGACGGTTTATTTCGATTTCGTATAACTCGTCAATTTGCCTTTGTCTGTTAAGTGCTTTTCTATTTTCTATATGAAGTGCGTTAGTGACCTATGGTCTAATTATAGTTTTTAGTCTGTCTGGTAATTCAGTTTTTGTGTTTAAAAAAAGCGTGTATGGGCTGTTAGAAAATATGTTTTGTGACGATATTTCGACGGAGTTTTGATCTGACTGATTCACAATAATTTGAT